TTGGATGCACTGATGCAAGATATGCCAGGGACCCAGAAAAGTAAGACAAATACAAAGCATGGGAATAGTAAGATTACTGAAAACTACCAGGGAAATTAGCTATCTTAACAAAAAATTTCTCCAAGACTAGGCATCTTTTTTGTGTTGTTTTTGGGTTGGTACAACTTCAGAAGGTGGCATTTTATATCTTTTTACCCCCAGGATTAATATAATTACTTATAGCCACTTGATTTTTCCCAAGCCCATTTTGTAAGTTGGTTGCTTATCCTTCTATATAGATAAAAAAGATGGGATGCAGAAAGTTGCTATCAAAAGGACAAGATGAAAGAATAGAAATATCAGTTCTTGTGTTTGCCTTCTCCAAAAGGAAATCTGCAATTGAGTGGTCCTTACAAAAGTGTGTTGTCCCAGGATTAATAACAATGATAATAGTGCGTAGAATCAATTATTAAAACTCTTATTATATTTTACTGCTTAGAGGAACCTCAGAAGATTTCACCTATTATCTGTTGATAATCGTTCTCTTTACTCAAAAATAGAGTGAGGAAGTAGGACAGTGCCTGTGCTAAAAGCAAAAGTAACATATCATTGTTTTTCCAAATGTCACATTGTATTTTTGTCTTGGCTGCGAGGCTGATCCCACCAATGCCTGCTGGCATAGTGCTCTCTAACTTGTGGTCTGATTCCATATGGCATCTATCCTAGAGGAACCTTACCGTTGGCTCCTTGCCAAGAGCGAAAGCTGAATTGGCACTGGGTATCTCATTGGAGTTTGTAAGTGGAGTGCCAGAGAGGTGGGTGCCCATGCCTGTGACAACTGAGGTCATGGGAAACATCACCCCAGAGAAACCCAGTTGTGGAATATTAAGCAACCACAGTTGGCCTTTACATCTTAACATATCCAGATTCTGCAGCCCCCTCTCCTTGGGAGCATGACACTGGGAAAGTCACTTTACTCCATGACTCTCCATGGCATCATTTCCAAAATGGGGATGATAATTTCAATTCAGTTGTGGAGCTGTTGTGATATTGTATGTCAAGTATCTGGCAAAGTTTCCTGGCAAAGACCAGGCTCTCAATAAATATTTGAATTTGAATCTAACTCCTGCACTGCTCTGGGTGCGAGGATAGCTTGGGAGTGCAGAGGAGCATGCTTAACTAGTTTTCTAAACCTGAGGTCAAATTCTAGTAAACAGAAGATCTTACTGAGATTTGGGGTATTTCTTCCCATTATTACCCTCTGTGAAGAGGGCATTCGCTCTCCATGGCCTCTGGCAAGTACCCCGAGAGTTTTGACTATTGTGCACATGATTTCTGGCTTCCTTAGAGGTATCATCACTTAGAGCCCCAGGGGGACAGAATAAATCAGTAAGTCTCCACTAAAAATGAACATTGGCCAGGAAGAAAGGTGAGAGTCCAAAGGAGGAGGAGTTTGCTTGCATTGGAATGAAGTTAACCAGGCTGTCTTGGGCATCATCAGGATCCGGGACAAGGGATGCAGCCTCATGGGGGTTTGGAGAGGTAGGACACCTGCCCTGCACAGGACCTTATATAACTCTTTGGAACAGTTGCTTCCAAAATGATAAGTGTTTGGTAAAAGGACAGAGAGGTGGATGAGGGGTGTTCACTGGTGTGCTCCTGTGGGAATAAGGAGAAAGAGAACTGGTGGACATGGAGACACCATTATGTGATTATTGAGAAAATGTGGATTTTAAAAGTATTATCAGGCCCTGAGCCCTAACATCATGCCCTCAGGATGGCAAGAGGTCTCTGGGCACCTGTGAAGAATGGCTGATGGGAGACGGAGTATTAATACGTACTCACCACAGCAAAGACCAAAGCTACTCTCAAGTTCAGCACTTTGCCCCCTCCTCCCACAGGTGGAGCACAGGTGTGTGCAGTTCCCTCAGTGTTGCCTTTTGTTCATCCAGGAACCCTTGTCTTCTCATAGATTTACCACGAGCTGTTCACCCTCAGCCCATGGCAGACCCGATGTGACATTTCACCACATGATGAATTAGAAATGTTTTGTGCTTAGGAGCCCCCTGGGCCTAAGTTTGATTTCTGCTTTTACAGTTTATGAGCTGATGATCTTAGGAAAGAAACTTCATTTCTTAGATCTTTGTGTCTGGAAAAGAATACTTTCTCATAGGATTGTTAATAAGGATTAAAAATAACACATGTAAAGCACAGTATGTGTATAAATAAGTGCTCACTAAAAGACACATTATTATTATTTAGGATATGAATTGTATTAAGTGTATACTATGAAAAATTTTGGATTGGAAAGTAGACTAATGATGCTCACTAGTTTCAAGTGTAAAGAAGAGATTAACACTAGAAATAACTAACATTTATTAGACTGGGCCCTGTCCTATACCAAGCACATGACACTGTGAGATGGCGTCTCTTATTCCCACCTTACAGATGAAGAGTCTGAGACCCAGAGCAGCCCAGTTAGGAGGTAGAGGTATAAGAGTCTGGGCTCTGATGTCCTGCTGCTTCAGGATGATAAACTGATAAGGCATCTGTGAAGGATGGCTGAGGGGAGAAGAAATGGACTCACACTCACAATGTAAAGACCACAGGTAGAAGGTACAAGCCCTCATCTCAGTCCACCTTTATGTGCTTCAGGGAGTGTGTAGTTTTTGAGAAAGTAGAAAATGTCCCCCCATTTGGGAAGGCAGTAAGGAATGCTTGCTCTGGAATTCCCAGTTTAGATATCAGGATGAGTATACTGTCACTTAACTTCTCCATTGTGTTAATTATGCTCTGTATAGGCAACATGCCACAGCCTCATTTTTTGAACTTCCGTTTCTGTTAGCTGAGACCTGTGGCAATGCCTTCCTCTTTTCATTCTAGCTGATTGTCAAGAGCAGTAACCACAAGTCCTTCCTGTCACAGAAATAAGTCTTGCCACACTCTCAACTCTCAACAAGCTGTGAAAACTATATTCTGTTTTGTGTGGGGCTTTGCCACCTCCACCCTGCCGAAGTCAGCTCCACAGGTTAAAGTGTTTTTTGAATTCTCAGAGGGTGACTTGAGAAGAAGTGTAGGTGCATAGGAACAAGACAAGTGATCAACCTCTAATATAAACACATATTACATTACTCCCAAATTGCTGAAAGATTTTCTGCTCAGTATTTCATTCAGTACAGTGTTTTTTAATAACAATAAGGTTGATTAGAGAAAGCTCTGAACATGCTTCAAGTCAGTCTGATTGTTTAGCTCAAGGATTTTTTAAAAATGGTAAAATAGGTGGATAAGAAGCAGAAATTGAAGCCAGGACCTAGTGATGAGTATTTGCCATCACTCTCCTCTCTGGATTAAATTCAATTTATGAGTTCTCCTTTTCATATGTTTGCTGGTGGTGGTTAGCCATCATTGCCTTTTCTTTCAAGGAACTCAGGACTAGCCTAAGTCCACAGCAGATTTAAGGTGCTCTGGTGTTTTTTGACTGTTATAACCAGATAAGGAATCCTGCCTGAAATATTTGAATACTCTCTGATTACCCCAAGGCTACAGTGAGTGGCACCTGCTGTTGTAGTGAACTTTGAGATCCTGCGGCCGATTTTTTACCTTTCTGCCTCATGGGCTGGGGGACAGTTATGGACTTGGCTCTGTAGATGCTCTGTCTACCAAGTTCATACTTGTTCAGGTACATTTTATTTTCACAGGCTAGATGCTTAACTAAGAGCACAGTATGCAAATGAATGCTGCTCAGGGCATTCAGCCTTGCCACCTGGCCAAGTAGGTAGGTTTAGGGTACATTAAGAGGGGGAAGGAAGAGAGTATGTGGTTTTGCTTTATTATTTACCATAGCTGAAAAGAAATAGGGGGATCCAAGTGAAAAATGAATGCCTTTTTCATCATCATATTACATTATGGGGACTAGAATTGCAGGTTCTAAACAAGTGTTCTCTCATCCAAATAAGGGTTTTGGAAAACAGTGTTAAAGACGATTAATGTAAAAGCTTTATGGTCTCGCTCTTTGTATCAGCCCCAAATATTTACTGAAGCTAGGAGAAGAAAGGCAGACTTCCCTCTCTTCTCTCCCAAACGTGTGATTGTTTAGAACTCAAGTGCAACATCTGGAAGTCAGATATACAGAGAGCAATTTATGGAGTGTGAAAGATTTGAAATATTCAGTGTCCTTTATCAGGAACTCAACTTTCTGGGGCTGCATTTTTTTCCCCCAGCACAAAGCCGGCAATTCTAAGATCGCCTTTGCCTCTCTGAATTAAAGCCTTTGTGGCCAGGGCCCATAAACAATGTGCTTTTTAAACGGGAGCCCCCTCCCCGCCCAGCCCTTTGCTCCAGCGTGGGCAGCCAATGGGCTGCACCCAGCCGCATTGCTGGGGCACTTTCCATTCTGAGCATCAACAACGTACTAATTTGATGTACACATGGATGCCTCGCGCGCTCTGCGAATCCATCGCCAGCATCTTGCATTAGTCATCTGACGGACTGCCAAGTGTTTCATTTTCTTTTCATGTGACTTTATTATTACCACCTCTCTCCTCTCTTCCAAAAACCTCCAAAGGCAGGGCGGGGAGGATGTGGGGGGAGGGAGAGGAAGGGGGAGATCCAGCAGAAAGCCAGCCCTGCCTTTCTTTGCACACGAGAGCCAGTGCGGGGCTGATAACGCTGCAGATGCATTGATGGCAGCCTTGCAGAGCGAGACCTGCACTTAACTTGCAGCTGCCTCCCAAGCCGGGTTTCAAGATGTCCACGCCCCGGGTGACAGCCAGCGGGGCGCTACCCTGGGCTCAGGCGACGATGCTGAACAGCAGCCTGCATTGAGCCCGCAGCCGCGGCTGAGGAGCAACCTAATGGTGCCCGCGCTTTGTTTTAGTTCATCAAATTTCCACGACTCATTAGGCACTTTGCCCCGCGCCCCTCTTCCTCCTCTTCCGCCTCCCCGCCCCCACCCTCTGCTTTTTTCTTCCTGTCGCTCACCGCGCAGCCCTAACTCTGGCTCCCGGTTCCCTTTTTGACAGTAACGGCACAGCCAACAAGATGAACGGCGCTTTGGATCACTCAGACCAACCAGACCCAGATGCCATTAAGATGTTTGTCGGACAGATCCCCCGGTCCTGGTCGGAAAAGGAGCTCAAAGAACTTTTTGAGCCTTACGGAGCCGTCTACCAGATCAACGTCCTCCGGGACCGGAGTCAGAACCCTCCCCAGAGTAAAGGTACAGAGCGCGGGGCACGCGGGGTCGGGCATCCCTGGGCGTGGGGCGCCCGCGCCCTGCCCTGTGCCCGCAGCCGGCCCCTCCCCGCACCCCGCCGCCGTGGGACAGGTGGACCGGCTGGTGAGGCAGCGGCAAGGGCGGGGCGCAGGGAGGGAGGGCCGGCGCCCTGTCCGCCGAGATGACTCTCCGAGGCCACTTTCCAGGCGGCGCAGGCTCTCCTGGGCGCAGTGGCTGCCTCTCCAAGGAACAGCGTTCCTCAGCCTTGCATTTCAGGAGCCTACTCTTTATACCCATGCTCTCCTAGTACTATCCGTATAATTACAATTGCATTTCACTTATCCATAGCCTGTGCAGATCCTGAAATGCCTTATAAACTGTTCATGTGATACCATTGGCATAGGGGATGGAGGGTTGATTCACTTCTAAAAGGGTCCTCAGTTCTTGGGGTCTAAACGGGGATCAGTACGTGAAGTGTGCCTTTTCTGGGCTGGGGAAAGCAGCACCCTAGTGGCCTGAGATAGTTAGCACAACTTCGCTGATGCTTGGGGCTTACCCCTCGCCAGTGGTAAGATTCAAGTGTACCATCTGGTGGTGTTACTGCCTCCATTTTGAGGGTGATGGGAGTGGGGGTGGGGTGCAGTCACTAAAACAGGCCAGAAACCTCTGTAGCAGGTGAAGCTTCTGTGCATTGGAGTCATCCTTTTTAAGTTCCCTGCAGGCTGAATTTAAAATATCTCTACGGCCACCACTTGGCCCCTGTCGATGTTTTAACCTTGATTTAGTCATTTGGTTTTTCTCTGTTCTTGAACTCTTGGTCTTTCTACCCGGGGCTCCCTGTCTTTCTTTGGATCTCTGCTTCTTTTTCTCTGTACTTTGGTATTTCTGTCTGGCCTGTTATTTTATTTCTCTGTTGGCTCACCTAGAGCTCCTGCAAGTTCATCATTTGCCTTTACATACACGTCCACTGAGCACATGCACATCAGCACATACTTTTATCTCAGCCTCTTCCTTACTGTCCAGGTGAAGAGATAGGGCTAAGTAATTGTTAAGATGCTGACATTCTGCAACACTGAGAAATGGTGGGCCTGCTCCTGTTCCCTGTAGTTGCTGAGGTCTGATAGGACTTTTGGGAGCCTTTTAAGGAATATAAAAGCCCCTAGCTAATACTCATTTTATTAAAGTGAACAAATATGCCTTAAGATTATGCTCATAAAACTCTCATTTTCTATCCCGAACATATTACATCATGCCAAGAGTCTTTTCTAAAGAAGTTATATAGAATTTTGTCCCCACAAACTTGATTGTCCCAAAATTTGAAAAACAGAAATTCAGATATCCATGTATCAGTAGGATTAAAAACATCCCTCATGGGCAGTGTTGAAAACCTTTATTGATCATATTCCTAAACTATTTGCCTACATATGTCCCAAAAGGAGAAGACCAGAATTTGTTTTAATACTTTATTTTCATACTATCCTACGAGGTAAAGAGAATATGAGGCACTGGACCGGAACTGAGGAACCACCCAGTAAGGGCCTCCCACCAACTAGAACAGAAAACTAGGCCAGAGGCAGCAAACTAGTGCTTCAGAGCAGCAACCACGGTGTGCCCTTGTCCAGGGAAACGTGCCTCCCAATTTCAGTTTATTCAGCGTTTTTCAGAATAACCTCTGACATAATAACTGGGGCTCGTTTATGTTGCCTGATTACTTGCATTTTAGCTTTTGATTACACATATGTTGCCTTAACCAAAAGGGCCTTTCTGTCAGTCAAGCAAATACTTGTGCACAGCCCTAGTTCTCCTAGTTTATCTTCCCTGGTGTTCCTCTGAGCAGTGCCTTTGCCAGGCTATATATGAGACTATACATTTATACATTTTGTTAACTTTACTCACCAGGTCTTCTAACTAACTTCATTATAATAATTTGCATAAGGCCAGAATCTTGGAGGGAAGCAGAGGCCCAAAGAGGGAGCCAACATTTTTTACATATATGCTATGTACCAGTCCCTATATTATTAGGAGCTTTACATATGCTGTCTCAGTTCTTGCTGAAATCCTGAATGTGGGTAGTACTAGTCACATTTTACTCATAAGGAAACTGAAGCTTAGAAAAATTTAAGAAGTGTAGCCCAGTTTACCCGCTGGTAAGTGGCAGAGTAGAAATTTGTGCACAGTCCATCTCTCTTCCTGTATGCTACCATCGTGCCCCTCCGTTAGATGAGGCCAAAAACCATACTTCTTCTGCCCCATTTCAGGGCTGGCCTTCTCCTTTCCCTGAGTGTCCCCCAAGTAAAAGGAAGGCATTTTGCCCTTTAAGAGCAGGATTGATTTTGCTTCTGTCTTTGTGCTTAGTTTTTATACTCACGGGTTTAGATTGTACATCATTCCAACTCCTGGTATCATGGGATAGAAGTTACAGATGAAATCATTCAAATCTTACCTTTGGAAATATAGGTCAATTCCCATTACTGTGAACTCCAAATCTCACATCAAATATTGCTTGCAGTACGTGGGCTGCCAGCCAAAGCTTGAAAGGGTTTTTGTTATACAGACATCTCTGTTGTAAGGGTATTTGTTGTGATGGGATTTGAGCAGTATAATGGCATTCCCCTCGGAGAATTACAGCCCTTAGCCACTTACATGTAGAGCAGCAGAAACCACCACTTTCTTTTACATGGATACCTGTGTGTGCCATGTGCTGTTTGCCTGTTTCTACAGAAAATAGAGCCTCACATTTATATTGGTCCTGTCTGTCAGCAGAGTACAAGTATGTTTTCCTAGGGCTGATGTCAGAGCTTCAAAATCTGAGCTTTGGGCCATCTATCTAAAAATGGTTTAAATTATCTAAATAAGATTTTTGAAGTGACCTTGATTCATTGCCTTACAACATCAGCGAGTCCAAAGAAAGAGGCAAAATTAGGCTAATACCTAATCCAGGTGACTCAGGGTTTACACTCACTTTGAATCTAATGTTCTGTTGAGTCTTGAGTCATAAAAAGTTCTGTTTTTGAAATCATCCTTTAAGAGTTAGAGCCTAAGCCACCCAGCTCTTCTCTCTATAAATGTATATGTTGAACAAGGATGCTCTGTAACTCTGGGGAACCTGGCTAAGAAACCCATCGCACCTTCTAGGACTTACGGAGAAGACATTTTATGCAGCAGTTATTGGTTGAGTGTGTGGATGGTGAGAAATACCACACTGTAGATAACAGCATGGCTTTTGAAGTCAGGCAAGTCTAAATTCAGTTTCTGGCTCTACCATTTCCTGGATATTGGCCTTGGGCATGTCACTGAACCCATCTGAGAGTAGAGATAGTCGTCATCAAGTTGCTGGGGTAGAGTTCCAAGCTTTGCACAGAGCTGGGATATCAGGGCAGCTCATTTGTTGTGGTGGTGGCTGGTATTACAATTATTACATCACTGTCCCCAAGAACTTGGAATCTAATAGGGATAATGAGGCTGGTACACAAGTAACTATAATACAGAATGACATGAGGTAAGTATGAAAGAGAGGAGCATATGTGAACTTGGGAAGTTCAGAGGGGGAATGACTAGCTTGCAGCTGGGGAAATAGAAAAGATGGAATCTTTACCAAATCTTGAAAGAAAAATACTAGAGTTCAATAAGTAAAGAGAGTGTTGAACATTACAAGTGGATAGACTGGCCTGGTTCAGGCATGGAGGTAACAAATGCAGTGCACATTCTGGTTCTGGAATCTGTGAACTCTGCCAGGGCTCAGAGGAAATTCAAAAATACATAGAATGAGTTGGAAGAGGGAGTTCCTGGGTTCTAGAAATACAGCCCAGGGCCGGTTCTTAGAGAGCCTTGACTCTCATGCTGAAATATTTGCACTTTATATGTTAGAAAGTCAGTGCTTGTGAAGGGTCTTTCAGCCAAAGGACAAGAAGCCGGGAGACCATGCAGTGTGTTGGCTGAAGTGCCCGGAGCTGTAGTGGCAAAGGTGGGGACCGAGTGATGCCGACATGACCACGCCACCATGGAGAAGGAGGTGGAGCCATGAAGACCAGGAGGTTTTGGCTTAACTGGAAGAAATAGGGAAGCAGTCAGCAGGTGGGAACAGGACGGAGAGGAATATGAAGTCCAGTTTGATTGTGTTGAGTCAAAGTTGCCACACAAGAGTCAGGAAGGATGAGGATGCAGGCCAAGGACAGCCATTGGGTCTGGTGGTTGGGAGGACTAGAGAGTGCTTCAGAGGAAGGGCTAGACTAGAATGAAACCAGTTAGCATTTGCGACAGGAAGGTGGAGACAGACCCCGAGTCCCAGCCCCGTGCCTCACTGATCTCATGGTCTCTCTCTCTTGGCAACTTTGCAGGCAAAAGAGAACTAGAAACGGGAAGTGGCTTGTGTCGACTCTCACTGTGTGCCACAGGCCTGAAGAACAAAACTTCCTTTTATCTTGAAATGTGATCAAAGGTCATATGGCAAAGCTGCCACACAGCAGCAGCCCATCCAGCTTAGAGCCCAGAGTGTTCTGGGTGGAACAGAAATCAAATCCGTGGCTCCTCCAGGAAGGGAAATTTGAAAAGAGCAGTGTTCGTGGCGGTTGTGATGCTGGGGCCACTCCACTTTCCTGATGGTCAGGTTGTAGGTAGGGGGCTGCCAGGGGCTGGGCTGGGCTGGACAACAGCTCATCCTGGGTGATGTGACAGTCACCCTCCTCTGCTGACCTCAGGCCAGGATCACAACTGGAATTTATCAGCACAAGCTAGCTTAGAGAACACACTGCACTGCCTGGTCCCTACGGTGGCCATGGTACCTGCCTCAGTAAAAAACCTGAGTGAATGCTGCTAGCTTAGGCTGAAGAGAGTTGACAGTCTTACAAACTTTATTCATTTCTTCTTAAAGATGTGAAGGGTTCGTAAATAACACCATCAACCTTTTTACCAAAGGGATTGTAGTAGAGGAGTGGTGTGGCAGCTGAGAGGTTCAATTCCATGTTCACACCTTCCCTTTCTTCCTAGAAATACTGTCAGAAACA